AATTGGGGAAAAAAAAAAGGGGGGGGGGGGGTAGCGGCGAGCCCACGATGTGAAGAGTGAGGCCATTGGATGTCACGCAGCTGACCATGCAGATTAAGTCCCAGGCCCAGCAGCTTGAGAAACATGACAGGAATGTTGTATGTGCACGACCAAAAATCCTGGCAGCTGAGAAAGATTGAGAAGGAAGTGTGGTGTGACCATGCCCACAGTGGTGCTTTTTTACATTTTCTATCTCCCTCCAGCAAGTGTATGCACCCTATGGGAAATTTTTAAAAAAAGAAAAAACAAAAAAAGGAATGCTAATAGTCAGCAGTAATAAAAATCAGTTGCTCGTGCTTGTGTGAAGTACAGCACTGATTAAAAGAAATGAAATTTTATAATTATCTGGCTAGGTGTAATAAGTGCTCCAGAAAGATTTAAGAGGGAACCGGCAATTAGCGTAATGGCTATGTCGCTAGACTCCCACGTAGTCGACTGCGGTTCGTGTCCTGGACCCGGTGGCTTAAAACTCACGCCGGGCGCGTGTGCGTGCATGCCCAAGATCCCGAGAGGAGAATGGAGGAGAAGGGATTGCGGCGTGACCATCCCCCCTGGGGGGTGATTTCTCGCTTTCTGTCTCTCTGTCTCTCTCTGTCTGTCTGGCGAGCGCACGTGCCCTACAGTGAAAATCTCTCCAAAAAAAAAAAAGAAAATATTAATATAGTAGGTCCCAACTAGATAAACTAAATATGTGTGAAAAAAGGAAAAATGAAAGTAAGCTGACATTTCAATTTGAGAATGACAATCTAAGAATCAAGGTGAAATAATTCTATAAACTACATTTAGTCTGATTCTGAATGATCTCGTTTCCACAGAAATAAAGCTCTCAATACTTCTGTTACCACCCACCCTTGCGTACATTAGTTACATGCAAAAGGAAAGGTAATTTGGGCTGGCAATCAGGGAGGGCTTTGAGTTAGACGGGCCTAGACTTGGATTTAGCTTCTATCACCTGTAATTGTGTTCCCTTGAATAAGCCACTGTCCAGAGTTCCTCTCTAACAAATGGAACACTGAATGCCTCGAAGGCAACCTTGGCAAAATAAAGCACAGTGTAAATACAGCACAGTGCCGAGCACACAGTAAGCGTATGATGATGGTTCTCATCTATGCAGCTTACTGCCTTAGAACCCAGAAAAGGCTACTGCTTTGCCATTTTTAACAATCCTTCTAAAATTATCTTTCTAAAAATAGTCTTCCCAGGGGCCAAGAGATGGCGTGGTGGTTAAGGTGCTAGGCACTCCAACATGGCTGGCCATGGCTCAAGTCCTGAACCTGGTGTCTTATTTTCTCACTTTCCCTCTCTTTTGCTCTACCTCTGTCTCTCTCTGGTCAAATTTTAAAAAAAATAATGAATGAATGAATGAATAAAATTAAATAAATTCTTTTTTTAAAAAAATA